AGCTGAAGGGAATTTTTCCCAGTGCTTGGAAGAGGGAGAAGCCTGGGGAAATTGGCACAGGTCAGAAAGGCTGATGGGAAACCGCCCGAGGAAGAAAGTGGATGAATCTGTTATCTATAGGGGAGGAAACAAGGATCCCACAGCCCAGCAGACAAATCCCAAGGAAGAAAAACCCTACCACTGCCTCCAGTGTGGGAAAGGATTCATTCTGAGATCACAGCTGGTTACACATCAAACAATCCATAACAGCTCAGACTTTAATACCCATGGGAGAATCGATACAGGAGAGAGACGCTATCAATGCCTTGAGTGTGGGAAATGTTTTAATTGGATGTCAGCACTTATTACACATCAGGCAACCCACATGGGAGAGAGACCCCATAAGTGCTTGGAGTGTGGGAAAAGCTTCAGTAACAGCTCAAATCTTACTAAACATCGGAGAATCCACATGGGAGACAGACCCTATAAATGCCTCGAGTGTGGGAACTGTTTCAGTCAGAAGACCACCCTCATTATGCATCAGAAAACCCACACAGGAGAGAAACCCCATAAGTGCTTGGACTGTGGGAAAAGTTTCACACAGAGATCAGCCCTGAGTACACATCAGACAATCCACACAGGAGAGAGACCCTATAAGTGCCTCGACTGTGGGAAAAGTTTCATTCAGCGCTCACACCTTCTTCGACATCTGAGAATTCATACTGGGAATAAACCTCATAAATGCCTCCACTGTGGGAAAAGTTTCATTCAGAGAACAAACCTTATTTCCCATCAGACAATCCACACAGGAGAGAAGCCCTATAAATGCTTGGAATGTGGGAAAAGCTTCAAGAACAGCTCTTACCTCACTAAACATCGGACAATCCACACGGGAGACAGTCCCTATAAATGCCTGCTCTGTGGGAAAAGTTTTGTTCTCAGTTCCGACCTGATTGTGCATCAGAGAATTCACACAGGAGAGAAGCCCTACGTATGCTTGGACTGTGGGAAAAGCTTCAAGAACAACTCCTACCTTACTAAACATCGGAGAATGCACACAGGAGAGAGACCTTATAAATGTCTCGATTGTGGGAAGTGTTTCAGTCAGAAATCATCCCTTAGTACCCATCAGACAATCCACACTGGAGAGAGACCCAATAAATGCTTGGACTGTGGGAAAAGTTTCACCCAGCGATCAGCCCTTGTTATACATCAGAGAATCCACACAGGAGAGAGACCCCATAACTGCTTGGACTGTGGGAAAAGTTTCACGCACAGATCAGCTCTCCTTAGACATCAGGCCATCCACACAGGCGAGAGACCCCATGAGTGCGTGGAATGTGGGAAACGTTTCATTCAGAGATCAACCCTTATTAGACATCAGGCAGTCCACACAGGAGAGAGACCCCATGGGTGCTTGGACTGTGGCAAATGTTTCACCAACAGATCATCCCTTATTAGGCATCAGGCAATCCACACAGGCGAGAGACCCCATAAGTGCTTGGACTGTGGGAACAGTTTCATTCAGAGATCGAACCTTATTATACATCAGAGAATCCACACGGGCTATAAACCTCATAAATGCCTGGCCTGTGGGAAAAGTTTCAGGAAGAGCTCATACCTTACTAAACATCTAAGAACTCACAAAGGCCTGGGAGACCCACGGAACAGCTTGATTATGGAAAAAGATTCAATCCGAGCTCAGACATCAGTGATCCACAAAACTGAGAGACCTTGAACATGGGGGAAGCTTCATTTGGTGCTCCCGGAGTATCGGGCATCAGCAAATCCGCACAGGAAAGAAACCGCTGAGATGTTCTCAGCGTGGAAAATGCTCCAAGTGGAACTAACACCACAATGGACATCAGAGACTCCTCCACACAGCAGGGAAATTCTCTCAGGGCCCTGACTAGGGCTGG